ATTTTTCGTGATAAATTTCTTTGCTTTTCTCTTTCTTTTCCAGCGTGACTAGAAATAACGGCAAATTAATTATTTCTCCGTCTCGTCGTCTCTTTAGCTGGTCGACTCGTTCAATTTTGTATCCACGATCTGTTAGTTGTTCCGCTATTTCGGCGCAGGTCACATATGATGGCAAATGTCGGATTACTACTTTCACTAACTTTGACTCCGGGAGTTCAAAGCAGTGGAAGGATATTTTTTCATCTTTCAAAACTTTCACTAGTTGTTTATAAATTGTCGGGTTGTACGCCTGAATTTTAAATCCTCCCTTTATTTGTTGCCCATGATAGTCCTTACATGGGGATAGATTATAACCAGCCAAAATGCCTTGCAACTTGATAAAGTGAAAGGATAAGTCCTTCACAATGATCGGAGGGGTACGTTTCGATGCTGGAATATCCTGATTGGCCGCCGGTTGATCCTCGGCTACTTCCATGGTTTCCGTAGCTGGTTGCTCCGGTGTCTCTACTACTGACGAATCAGCGGGCTCCGTTAGAGCGGGCTTCTTCTGCTTTTTTGGTCGTTTCGTAATGTCTCCTCTTGGTCCAGAATCTGAATCCGAGGTGTCTTCATCTAGAGCTTTATACTTTTTTGAAGCTTCCTCATCAGATCTAGCCGGGCTTGAAGCTCGTCTGACGTTCTGCTTAAACCCTTGCACAGGTTTACCTTGTGGTATAACAGGAAGGATGTTGGGTTTGGGTAACGCTGATGTTCTTTCGTTGTGGATCTCTCTTTCAACGAAGATTTTAAGTCGCCGGAAAAACTTCAGATCACTTGCATCCTTTTCAGAAAGCAAGCCATCAGCTTTTTCGATACATTCTAGGTTGGTGATTTCTGCAGCAATAAATTCTATGATGCGGTCCATGTTAAGACTTTCAAAACAGAAAATGAGGCAGCGTAGATCAGAGCAACGTTATACCGGCCTACTTTTACTGCGGTATATACTCTGACATGATACAGCAGTAACACGATCAACATAGAGTCGATGCGTCAGAAGACCGTAGTTAAGATATCAAGTATCGAATGCAATCACTGACCGCCTAAGGTACTGGGTCAGCACTTCGATCAGGAGAAAACTGCAGTGCGTGCTACTCGCTCGCTGTCTCAGCTCCGAAAGTTTGAATTCTAGGTTAAACGACCCACACAATGGGGGCAGTAAGAAAAAGGGTCGAAGAACATTTTCCCTGCCCCAGCCTAATAGCTAAACATTAAAGGAGAGGTAAGAGACGTTCTTTACCAGATTTCCCTATTTTTTTGCTTACCCACTCAACCCTCATTCTGTTCGTCCTGGGAATTCATTAGTAACTCTAAGTATGTTTAATTTTTGTGGAATAAAAGACTCCCCCCCCCCACGATCAGAACTTAATTGGGCCGGAACCCCCGGATCTTAGCTCCGGTGCTGCTCAGTTTTGTAATAAATCATATTCTAGCCGGAAAGCACCGGAGCCGATAAGAAGGCTGGCACTTCTTTTATGTAATTGAAATAACAATTTCAGTAAAATTTTATCTCGAAAATTTTATTTTAACAATAAATTTATTAAAAATCGCGTATTAAATTTCAATTTATCTCTTACATTTTATTTAATTTTCTTAGTTATTACTTCATCTTTATAATTATTTCAATAAATATAATTAATTATATAATAATGAATTATATAATAATTATCAATTAAACTTTAATTATTATATCTAATATGGATTAATCAATTTAAAACATTAATTAATATCTATAATTAATTTGATAATATAACTATTTAATTTTAAAATTATTAATGAGTTTTAATTGTCATTTTATTTATTTATTTACGCTTGTTCCTCTCTGCTGACGGTCTTTTCATAGGGCTCCGGCACTTCTAATCTTAGAAATTAAGTCCTGTATTTATTTTATATATTATTTTACGTCTTCAGTAACAGCCGGGTGCACAGTCTGAGTCCATATCTTTATAACTATAAGTAGTATAATGTCTCTAAAACTATAAGTAGTATAATTTTTGCAACAGATACATACTTAGAATGTACTCGCGGGCCGCATAAAATTGATTCGGGGCTGCAAGCCACCCGTGGGCTGCGAGTCTGAGACCATTGGCTTAGGAGACAGCGTTTATTTTTGATTCAAGAAAAGATAATTACTCTAGAATCTTGCTACTTCATTAAAAAGAAGAGAAAAAATAGACACTAATTTAATTGGAAATCAGTATTTCCTCAAATCTCATAATTGGTAATCAAGTGGCGCCATCTGCTGGATCTCTATTACATCAGTCTCGAAAATCGGTTAAATCGGTTAAAGCTAAATAGTATAACTAACTCTTGAATTTCTCTGTTGAATAGTATTGTTTTTTTTTTTTGCAATAAGGCAAATGATTTAGTCCTTAAAAAACCTGTAACTAATAAAATTAACTTCCAGTTAGTAGATTCAATGAAAGTAAAATTATGAGCATTGAATATTTTTTCCAATGAAATAGTTGACTTGCAATACCAGTTTCCTCTTTGATTTCATACTCTTACGACTCTGTTCTTTGCAAAGGCATTTCTTTTAATTTTGAGGCAGATATCCCTTACATGTTTAATGTAATCCATTAAATAATTAGCTTACCTTTTTTATATGTGCATTGAATTTCTGTTTTTGGTGATTCATTTTCTGTAAAATAATAATAACATGTATTCAACAATTTCTCTCCCCCCCTGTTAATTTTTAATAACACAGCATTTAATATGAATCACCTTTCAAGAAAATACAAAGTTGTTCAACATTATTTCACTACCTTACAGTACTCTTTTGTTTGCGATCAGTATATTACTGTGGTGAAGAACAATATACTTTAATGGTAAATTGGTCTTACCTTAGAAATTAGACACATTTATATGCTTCAGTTACAGAGAGTGTAAATAATAAACCATTGCAAATGGTAATGTGCTGTTTAATTTAATATATAGTATATTGTACTGTTTAACTTAGGAATCTAATCATGCTAGAATATTCTACTTTTATAGAATTTATGATCAACCCGCCACAAACAAAATTCGTGTATATTATTTTTATTGTAAAATCAGTCCTTCTTCTTATATACGTATATAACACCAAATAAAGAGTGATACAATTTGAAAGGGATTTCTAGCTGTTTCAGATAAATGTTGTTAAAGCTGCATTAAAACATATTATTGTTTCATAATTAAGGTTTGAAACTTACATACGGGAATAAACGGAAAACAATAAACGTTCATCGCGGCACTAAATTCATAAATCTAGCGATTAGTACTATATTCTACGCCAGTGGTTCCAAAACATCTGACGTGCAACGGAATCGTGTGTGCGGTCCCTACAATTCACTGCTCCCAGCCTTTACGATGTGTCACAAGACATGTTTTTGACATCGCAGAGACATAACTTCATGACTAGTGTATACTATAAAATAGTCGGTTATCGCAAAGAGGTTTATTGCAGTAACCATAGTTCAGTGGTTAGAGCAACTGGTCTTATAAACCAGGGTTTGTGAGTTCGATTCTCGCTGGTGGCTTGCTTGAAGGTCATTTGTCTTTGTCATTTGTCATTTTGAAGGTCATTTGAAGTATGCTATCTTAGAAGTAGGCTTAAGATGGAGTATATGTAACGTCGATTTATATAAATCTGTTTTTTGGAGGGGTCATACTTAACCCCAGGGAGATAATGGAGTAATTAATACTGAATGTCATTTTATTTATAGTTTTACCTTCATTGATTTGTATTTTCTTTTACAGTATTATTATTGCATGTATTTTTTTTTTTTTTTTTTTACATTGTTTAAACTTTAACAGTACGACCGCTTGCATTGTGCTCTTAGTACTTTTTGTTCCCAACTCGATCAACTTTCTGAACAATCTCCTCCAACTAATTAATTAACGTTTATAATATGTTTAAAAATGCATGAATGAAAATTTTTTATCCTATATCTTAACATATTATTGAGTATATTATTTCGAAATTTTTAATTGTTTGATTCGGGGTAAAGCACTGGGCCCAGACACTCGGGTGTCTTAAACATCGTTTCACGTAACTGCTAAGCAGCATTTTCTACTGAGGATTGTCGAGAGGATGGCTGGTTATTCTAACTATGAAATGGCAGATATACACTTCGTATACGGTGCGGCGGACGGGAATGCGAGTAAGGCACAGAGAGTTTATCGGGACCTCAGGAATGAAACACCGTAATAACTCTGCTCACCGTAACACTGCTTCATACTCTGCTCAAGTAATGAAGGTTATAGTCGAACACAGCGTAATAAGTAGTAGTATGTTTTCCCTTCCGGAAAAGAACATGTTATTCTTTAAAGTGCATCGAGCTTCTCCTGCATTATGCCTATAATTCAGTCTTTCCATTTTCCGCGTCTTTTTAAGTTTGTTATATTATATTATAACGGTACAGGCCACCGGGTTAATTATTCACGAGTGGGAAAAACTGTTGTTCTCATAACTTTTGTTAGTCTTGCGTCAAAAAGCTTTTAATGCACACCATCCTACTAATCTCTCACTTTTAGGAATACAGTCTTGAACGAGAATATTTCAAGTTTATCTTTTAAACCTTTTAAAAGCACTTTGCAGATAATGGGACAAACTCATCAATTTAAAAACAATATACTTACATCTCAGTAATTGTTAGCAATATAGGGACATAATTTTTTCTGGAAGCGAAAATACGTATTATTTCGTTTTTAAAATAATGTAGCTGTCTGATATAATTTATCAAGTGATGCTTTTTATAAGCTCTTGCACCGTTAGAGATGATAAAAAATGTTTCTAACGCCATGTATCATATATACACTTGTACAGTGAAACAATGTAGTTCTATACTTTTTCTTTCCGCTATGCTTCATGTGCATATGAAGATTTAACTGGTGAGTCAACTGTCAGCAGCATAGGAAAGCTATAATTTTTCAGCAGTGTGATTATGAAATTTGATTTACACTAAGAAATCAGTACTCTATTATTTTGTTTCAAACAATTTTTATTTAACATAATAATATATCAACTACAATTATTATAAATAAATATTAAATTTGTAAAATTTAGAAACATTGTAATTATGCAACTTTATACAATAATAGATATTTTTTTTTTCCTTTTTGCTTTAACTCATTTCACCTGAAACGTCATTTCACATGAACAGATCTTTAAAATAAACCTATGTTTTTTTATAAAATAATACATAAATATAATGGAAAATGTGGAAAGAAATATGTAGCTTAAATGCATTTAAATTTAAGAAGAACACACGGTATTTCTATCTGTAATAACATTGCCGTGTAAAGTTTTTTCTGTATAAAGATATAATATAGACTTTTAACACTGCAAGAGAATTGCTCCTATTTTTATGAACCAAAAGCTTCCCTCACATATACATTGGTGAGACTCGAGCACTGTACTTAAAATGCAGTTGTTTTATTTCGGGAAGGTATTGCAAAATCTGGAGATCCAGTGGTAATGAACAGGAAGAATTTTATCAGTGGCATTATAAAAGAGATAAATGACCGAATTAAAAAAGTTGCAGATATCTTTTTAATAGCAGAACCCTCAATAGATTAATTGTGCTTTAAACGTAGAAGACTGTGGCAAGAATGTTTCGGAAGTTATAGCAAAAATTACAAATAATTGCATTTTTTTCATTTTTCATGTTTGGGAATAAACGTAATATAATGCCCTGAGCAACGAATCAGGCAGGTTGCGGAAAGATGTCGCTGAAACAAGCAGCATAAGCTAAAGGTAATAAACCAGTTTTCGATTTAGATAACTATCACTGAGTAAATAAATGAGCATTGCAAGAATTTCCAACTTTTATGAAAGGTTCTTTAAAGACCAATAAAATATGAAGCTTAAAGATTTAGGCTCTAAGAAAGTCATATTTATCAAATCTGCTCACATTTTCTTGCAATCATTTCAGCTGTTTTTTTTTTTTTTATTTTTTTTTTTTTTTTTTTTATTAATTTTCTTTTACATATTACGGGCGGCCCTCCAGAATATTAATAAAAATTTGCATTCTTGTACACTTACAGATTTATGTGAGAAAATATTGTTACTAATATGGTTAGAAAAAGAGACGTGCAGGATAATCCAAAATTGAAGACAACGTTTCTCAACAGGGGTGTCGTGGAATGCTAACATTACACAAGAAAAAAGATTAGCCAAATATTGCATTATATTTACATGGCGTTCATTTCTAAACATAACATATGAAATTAATAATAATTTTAAGGGGTTTGCAAACGTAAAAATGTTAAAAAAACAGTCTAGATGTTAATGAGAAAGGAGATTGAAGGTTATTAAACAAGATTTGGAAAAGTTAGAACATAGTAACTTTGAGCTAAAACCCGCAGTCTTTGGAGTAATCCTAAGTTCGTAAGAATTTTTGAATTTAAGGAATTGCAGGAAACAAAACAGCCATGCAGCAATTTTAAACCATTTGCAAAGTTAGTTACAGGACATCACATAAAATATTAATGATATCCAAGGTAATGTATTCACTTTGTGTTAGCAACTGTCCAAAAAATTAGAAGAAACACTGGGCACATCAGATTCCTATTGATCAACAACTGAAAGCCCAAAGTTGCCACATCCTGGCCAAGTACTGAACCTAAAAACCTAGGTAAAACTGGTACCCTCTTAATCAGCCATCTGGATTCCCTTAAGAAACAACCTTTTTAGTGAAATTTCACATTTTTTTCTGTTGAAGAAGAGGGATCTGTGTCTGGTCACTCTCAAAATCAACATCATTTTATTCAAAATCTATGCTACTAAGTTTGCTTTATTTCCCTATTTTAAACCCATCGAAAATCTTTGGGATAATGTTGAAAAGCTATGTGTCCAACAGCCAGTAACATAGACTCTCTCAGGATCTACAAATTACCCTTCTGCTCCACTGGATTACCTAAGTGGATCGAAGATATGGCGAAAATGATTGTATCAAAGTTTAGTGAGATCACTTCACATATTAGCATGTTTGTTTCGTCTCTATCCCAATTATTTTCTCAGTGAATTTCTTATGTGTGAAGTAATTACTTAAGCAGAGTTAACATTATTTTGCCCATAATTATATTATTATATTTAGGAATTTTAGTTGACTCCTCTCTTATGAAAGCTAGTCATAGCATAAAAACAGTCAAGTTTACAGCTGCATCCTCAACTTTTAGAAGTCAATAAGAATGAGGATGGCGATATTAGCGAATTTTGTCACAGAAAAAGCATTAAAATAATATACAATTAACACATTTTCCCACTTTCTTTTATATTTTATTTAGAGGATCTTTACCGCTTATTTCAAAAAAATTATATGTATTTTCATACCCATAATGCAGTTTCGGCATCTATACATTCGACTAAATATCTTATGCAACATAGATGATTCAATGGTTGCATTTAGTCATCTAGCAGAAAATAGCAATATTTCATAATAAAAGCTTTGGTGCTATGTTTTTGTATTTTTGATGCAATATAATTCTTGAACTTGATGGAAATGTTTAAATTTGGTAAACCATTTGTAAGTCTGCCTTATAAATCTATTGTGAAAGAAGCATTGAATTTTGCGTTTGTACTCGATTCTTCTGCTCCATTATTCTGAATCATTTTCTGCTGAAATACAGTTAGCATACCTTTCACTAAAGTTTAATTTCGTAAAGTTATGGCTCGTATCGGGTTGTTTAATATTCAAAATTACGCAAGACTATGATTGAAATCGTACATAATAAGTAGAGCGTGAGCTGTTTATTTTCTCAAATTTGAGAAAACATTTTTAGAAATAGCTCAGTTCAAAATAAAACGAATCTCTATCATTGATTTATTGCTGGAGCAAGGTAATTTGTATTGAAAAAATTATAAATTAAATTTTAAATAAAACGATCGTTTTATATTTAATATCATTTGTGAGCATGTTTTGACGAATTACTTATTTCTAATTGAAAATAAATTAAACATAAACATTTCATATACCACAAGAATAAGGTTCGATGGTTTCACAGATACACAAAATCGATTTCATTCTATTTTGGAAGAAGGTAATGTTATTCACATGCCAGTTTACTGTCCAAACTCGATAATGCTATTGCGAAAGCTTGAAGAGCACACATGGGGTAACTGTAGTCCATCGTGAAAATGTCTTCCGATACCCTCCCGAACTGCATAACTATGTAGTCGGCTAGAAGAAAGAAAAGTAAATTAGAAAGAAGTTCACTTAGCTTGTAATTAATTTGATGTGATTTTTATAGTAATTCATGGGAAAGATTTACATTTTAGAAAGCGCTAACTTATTCGTATTAAAATAATCATCTATGAAATGAATAAGTTTCTTATATTTCTATGTTGTGAGAAAGGAAATTAATTTCTCACACCACGCAGTTCATCATCATCGTAACATTAATCGTAATCGCAGAACTGCACGTGCATATAACACCGGTCAAACGGGTGTTCCCCTTCTCTCTCTTGGCTGACCTCCGCTCGCGCGAGTACGCGGGGCTGCGTGCTTGCATATCTCGCTTATGGAGTGTCGTCGTTTCTTTTGCATGGAAAAGTAGCAGTAGCTAAAAGATTGCAAAAATTAGATAAAAATGTTTAGGTTGAAATTTAATCTGTCTTGATGCCGTGCTAAAATTCTAAAACATCCTCAAGTAAATTATTAATATGTGTTCTCATCAAGACAGTGCATTGTCATCGGTGTGTCTCCATGGGGTGATTTCCGTGTGCTAAACAGAATCTAAAAAGAAAGAAATTCTTGCACGTGTGTGAACTGATGTTGGTATTGTACGTAATTAATGTGAAAAGATTTCCACTGCATAAATGAACGATGCGACAGATTATGAGTTTGTGTTATAATCTTCAATCAGACGGCGCCATTGTTCCATTATGCTTATTTCGTTTCTTGTGATATTATTTTTTGTATGTTGTGTTGATATATTTAATCCAGAAAATGTTTTGATGAAATAAATATGAGTTAGATGAAGGAAGTTGTCTCTGAGGTATTTATGCAAGGTGGTTAAGTAAAACATTTTATTATTCTTGATACTAGGGTTTAATAAGCAATGTATTAACCACTTAGAATTTAGGCTAGCAAATATTGGGCACGTGTAAATTAATTGATTACTTGTAGGTATCTAGTTAGATAGATTGTCACATTACAACACCACCCAATGGTGTACAACACCACACATGTACTAGACAAGTAATAAGCTTACGTGTCACATTAAATTTATATTTATGTATGCAATTTTCTAGCTTTCAAGTGTGAGGGATAATTCTGGTTACAGATCCTGTACTTGAACGAGGACTCATTGCAGATACTTAGCTTTAAAACAGGAAATCATAATCAGGAGTTGTAAGCAAAGTGAAGAGGAAAAATATTCTTGAATCTGTGTATGATTGAAAACAAAGAATCAGTATTGACGAAAGTTTATGGTCTTAATAAATTAAGTGACCGGCATTTCTATGGAGATTATCGTGAAAAGTCTTAATCAATATAATTATTTTGAAAAATGAGCTTATTCACAGAATCTTACCTATATCCTAGAAAAACTAGCGGGTTTCACTGTTGTCGCATACTCAACATGTAACAGTATTTTTATAAATTAAAAATTAAGAATATCCCTAATTTGATGAATTTGTATGATACTTATAAACTATTTGAAGAAAAACACTTTTGGCACACATGTGCAGCAAAATTATAAAATAAAGAATATTGGATTAATAAATCACAAAAAATATCACTGAATGTCATTTAAGGGGGAAAAGTAAGTTTAAATTATAATTTTATTTATCAGCTGACCTTTCAAGGCAAGTTGTAAATAACGTCAAATATCCAAACCCTCTACATTAAGTTGTGCAGCTAAAATGATAGCCCGTGCTGACGTTGCTATGAAGGAAAACGTGGAACTGTGTTCCGGCGCAAAAAAATAATGTTAAATCAAGATAATGCAAGACCACATGTGTCTGCATTCATCCGGTGAACTCTGTACGGACTCGAATAGAATCACACCATACAGACCTCATATCGCTCCTTCGGACTTCTACCTTCCGCCCCCCCTTCAGCTACATCTTGCTGGAGCTATCTTCCATTCTGCGCAGGACGTCCGAAATGAGGCTGATTTGTCTTTGGACTCGCGGCCCCCACGTTTCTGGGCCAAAGGCGTTTGGCAGAAAATCATAGATTTGAGTGGTGATTACTACCCGCACTAAAGGTACTGCTTTCGTGTTTTTAATTTCTAACTTTATCAAGAACGTTTTTTGGTGGAAAACTTTCGTTACAACCAGATATTTGGGGGGAATTTTAGGTTTTACTGATTTTGAATTTCATTTCTTTCATGTCATGTTTTTTTGGATCTGGTTCTCAATTTCTTAATTTTTGTCTAGGATGAAGTTTCGGCAGCATGTTGTGAGGCAGTGATATTGAGATTATTAGTTTTAAAATAAAAATTTGTGATACACTATAATATATATACACACGAAAAGATTCGGGTTTGGGCTTTCCTGACGATGTACAAGCTCAGGGCATTTTTAATTCGCTTTCTAATTGTTTTAGCTCTTTAGCTTATGTTTTCTACCCAACTATGACCTAAGTCTTACATTTTCAGAAATCTTTATTACAAATTGACTTCCTATTGAATTCAATACAAATTACTTTTACATAAATTTATTGTTCTTATTTTTATTTACATTATTCATGTATTTTACCACTGTTTCCTTGGTCTTTGGAAGTTTATGACTTTGAAGATTTATGTAATTTAATATTTCATCGTATTTGTTTTAGTCTTGATTACATTATTTTTGAATGTTCTAAAAATTTGAGCATTTTTGAAGTTTAAACTAATGTAATTTATGATTTATGTATATACATATAATTTTAAGGAAAATATTTTTCTCCTGCTTCCTTTTGTTTTGTTATGTATAGCAAATATCTTCAGCTTGTGATAGATTTTTAAAACTTCATGATTATTTAGGACATCTTACAATCTTCAGTATGGAAACTAAATTAATAGTGATAATAAATTGCTGCATTGAATAGACGATAATAACATAAATTTTTAAAGAAGAAGTTATTAAATCGAATGTTCTGAATTATTATGAATCTGAAATTATTACAGAATGCATAATGCTGACTTTTGGTAATAATAAATCAATTTAATAGAGAGGAAGAAAACTTTTTGTCAATTGACAACGCGCTGCATTTTATGTAAGTTCACCACCAAAGACTTTTATACAACTATGTTATTGAAAACGCAGAAAATCCTTTTCTGCGTTTTCAATAACATAGTTGTGAAAAGGAAAAGGACGCAGAAGATAATGAATCAAGTGATGACTTACGGTCGTTGATAGACACAATCTGAAAATTTTTGACGGAAGCTTGCGTCACTCTTCCATGGAAATTCAAAACGTACGACTGACTATCTGGAATAGAAATAGTTAAGAAAGATTATTCAATACTTCTTTTACAAAACGAGCATTTAAAATATTTTTACAAAGAAAAATTTACTTATATATGTATGTATATAATCTGCATTTTATTTTATACACTCAACAGGTGAGAGTAACAAACCATGCAAATGCTAGACAAGTAAATAGCGATGGTTTACGAACTGTTAATCTTTGTCAAAAGAAAAATACTGAAAGAACACAGTATGTTGTTCAATATACGTAAATAGAAATCATTAAAGTTTCCTAAGATTAAATGGTTGATAAATATTTTCCCTTGATGGCACAATTTTACGAAACGTTATTAATGATAAATGCTAAAAAATACAAAAAAAAAAATGAAAATATAGACATCCTTTTATATCCAATTAAATGTATTCGCAAAAAGGGCTGTTTCGTTTCATCTTATTTCTAGAGACGAATAGAACATAACAGTATTTTCACTTTAACAGAGAAATTACTAAGTCACTAATTATAGTATAATGCAATTATTTATCCCAATCGACTGCCGTAACATATCATTAAGGGCGACAGTTTTTTGTTGAAAAAAGGATTGTTATCGCATTAAAATTAATTTCATGAAAAATAATATAAATGATATAAAATATAAATAAGTAATATAAAAAGTGATAATAATTTACAATTAAAATTAAGTCATAAAAACAAACGTAATATAAGTAATGATGTAGAAATATTGATTGCCTAGATGTTGAACCATAATGAAGAGCAAACTTCGCAGTCAAGGCAGATCGAATGTAAATTTTTTTTTTCAATTGACGTTTTGCGACCGCAAACAAATTCGCACATTAATCATGCTTGTTCCAGAACATTTACATTTTTGATAGTATAACAGTAAGAAACGATCAGTGCAACCGCCATCTAGGTAAACCGGAAAGAGGAAGTAAAGCAGAAAAGTGCGTAGTTTTCCAATACAAAAGAAGCTCAGCTTAAGAGAAAGTTTTCGGTTTCGGAAATTCTAAGTTCCGAATTATTTACATCATTATTGTTATATAAAGGATGAAAAGGGGAAATATCCAAATTAAAGCGAGGAATATAGGGGTTATATCAAATTATAGTTAATAGTTTGTTTTACACATATATATATGCATCTCAAGCATTATTTCACATGTCAGTCATGGCAGGAATTTAAACAGCACTTCGATCACGTTAAAACGAATAACTAACTGATTGTCTCACTCACCATCATTCCAGACAGGAGTTTTGTTTTGCATTTCCAATAAATTTTCCATATTCCTACTTTTCCACTTTTCTAACAAACCTTCCCCTTCCTGTGAGGGAGAAAAAGTTGTGCATAATTATTGGAATTCTGATGTATATTTATATTAATTATATATTAAACCAATTCCTTCTTCACTAAAGGAATTGCCAAATGGAGTGCATTTAAATTTAATGAAACCTTAAATAGGTAAACTAAACCGAAAATAAAACAAACAAACAAAAAGAGGTCTATTAATCTGCTATGCTTAACGCTTCACACATAACTTAAGGCAAAAGTGTTTTGAAGCATTAAATCAAATTGATTAATGAGTTCCGAATACATGTCTCCTTCCTCGTGAATCATTTGAGACTCAAAACCGCTTTATTAGAATCCAATCTTCACTTTAAAACGACATTTTAGTGATTCCTAAATGCTGAGAACTTTTAAAGTGATGATTGATCCTAATAAAGCGGTTTTGAGTCTTAAAAGATTCAGAGGAAAGAAACATGCATTCAGAACTCAATAATCAATTTGGTTTAAGGCTTCAAAACACTTTTCCCTTGACAAGTTCTGTTTGAATCGTTAAATAGAGGAGATTAATACATTTTTTGTTTTATTTTGTATTATTTTTAGTTTAATTTACGTATTTGAAGATTCATTAAATTTAAATGCATTCCATTTGGTAATTTATTTCCTGGAGAAGAAATCGGTTAAGGCCTTCATAAAGAAGAAAAAATATTTTTTTAATTTAGTTCTGACATTTCCTTTTAAATTTTTATTATTTTCGGTCTAGCAGCGTGTGCGAAAATTCGTCTCTTTTCTTTTTTAAAAATTCAGTTTGGACTACTTAAGGAGTTTTATATATATACATATACATACATACATATATATATATATATATATATATATATATATATTAAAAGCGCAGAAATGTTAAAAAAAAGTATATGTTTTTCAAAAAATCGATATTTTTGAAGATTCAAAAGTCGTGAGACCTTTTAAGGACTTTAACCGGTTTTATGTTTGAAAGGAAAATAACTATTATTTAGTTGCTCAAAATGTCAGCTAAATATTTTGTATTTAAAAGTGAGGTAACTGCAGAATCATATAAAATTATCTGAATTTATTGGTATGCAAGACTATTCTCCTTAAACGCCTTCATTCCACCTTTCTTTTACATTGAAATTGCTCCAAAAGCCATTTCCTTTTCATCGAGCATAAGGTAGTCTTTTTAGCATGCAAATCATTCTTAATTTTTGTATTTAATACATGTGAAGCAAGTCGTAAATTTTCTCGAGTCAGAATTATAGAAGGATGCCGAATCTCTCGAATCTTCTAAGATTAATGATAATTAATAAAAAGCTTTTGCTTAACGTTAAGAGATTTTAAATAAAGCAAAATGCGAAATCTTCGTTTAATGAAAGTGAAAGCTACAAACAACATAGGTTTGAAAACATACCTATATCTATTAAGAAGATACAAAGAAATTTTATTGGTGAAGCTCTTGATTCTTGAGTTCATTTTTTAATATAACTTTGTAAGGATTATGTTAATTTTTATTAACAGTTAAATTTTAAGTTCCTTTCCTGTCAATTTCTTAACTTCAACTTACTACTTCCGGCCAGAACGTAGTTTTAGAATCACTGTGAATACATAATGAGGAAGAGCGATATTTAACCGCAAAGTTCTACTTGCTGAGTGAGAGAAAATCAGAGTTTCTGATTTGCGCGAGTCTGCCTTTTAGCTACTCTCTCTCAAAGCTGTTATTATGCTCGGCTGTACTCAGGCCCTTGATAACTTCGCAGTCATCTCGTATTTAAGGGGCCAACTGCATTAAAACTTTAATAGCTTCGACTATATCTCTTTAGTTTAAATTAGTTTTAATTTACTTCTTAGCCTCCTAAGTTCAAGCACAAGTGTGGCTTTTATTGTACACTTCAAGACGGAATTCTGTTAAATCTTATTTGAATAATAAAGGGTTATTTACCCTTTCATCTTGTTGTTTCTTGTCACATGAACTCAAGCGATTATTCGCTTAACTGTTTTCTTAAGATTCGTCACGTTCCACAGTAATTTAGCATTTACAAAGTGAGGAACTCTACATGTTTACAAAAAGTGTTTGAGTAAAACTTGGAGATTTGAATTAACATTTTCAAATTCAATAGCTGCAGCGAGCGGTTCAACTAGAAAGCATCTGAAGTCATGTATGCGAGGCAGTCCATAATCATGGCATGAGTTGCTAAAAACATCCAAGACCTATAAGTAGTAAGTTATTTATGTCTAGAATTATCCGCATTATTTGAAAATGAATTTCATGAACTTGCAAAGAGCTCAGAGCACCGATTACTTAAAAAATTACGAAAGAATTCGCTAGATAGCATACTTAAATTTATGGCACTCGTGGCCGTCATGAAATAATATTAGCGATAAAGACATTGTTTAAAGTGCAACATTCTAGTTGTTTCTTTAATCAGTGCTTCTGTTAGACGTCAATAAATTTAATCTTTTCACAAAGTTTTGTGTTAAAATAAATATACATCCGTTTTGTTCTGATTAGGATTCAAATGACGAAAAAAGGGCGAAAATTCCAGTTTTCTGATTTCTAATCATTTTTCAAGATTTACGGAAATAGATGATTCAGATGTCCTATCCGTAATATTGAAAATAACGTCAGCACCACAAGCAGAGCAATATAAGAAATATGCATAAAATTTCTACTTACTACACTAGATTTCATTTCGATCCTTTTGTTCTCGCTATTAAGAGCTGGTAGTATTACTGACATCTTTCTCGGCCCGTGAAATCCCAAAACGTTTGTAGCCTAAAATTATGTGCATAAAATAGGTTACTTACATTAAAAGCGTTAGTAAATTAATTACATTAAAACATTCGAAGATCCTTCTAAAAAGTAAATAAATACCTCTGGGTTGAATGGCTAAATTTAATTACTGATGATAATATTAATATTCTATGAACAGTGAATTGTCTAAAACTCTTACTCCTCATTTTAAATAATTCTGGAAGTTATTTTGACGCGTCGATTTTCTATGATTCGCAAAAGTTTTTACTGTTAAAAGAATTCATAATTGATTAATATTTGTAAATTTCGAGATGAATACTTACGTAGGCAATCAATGCTATTTCACATCGGGAATCTTTTTGTTCACTGATCTTTTTCTTAGGGTTCAAACCCGCATCATAAACTGTAAATATTGTTCCCAACAAATTTGATCTGAAAGGATACAAAAAGTTAATTTATAATCTTGATTTTTCTTGAAGGTCTCGTCATGATATGTCTTGTTGTATATGGTTCCAGGAGAGAATTGATGAACTGAATTTATAATTTAAAAATTTATCTGAACGTTTTGGAGCGGTCTTGAAACATCTGAGAGGCAATATGTGAGCGAATAACGATATGCATTCATTTAACTATTTATTTAGTTACACAATAAATCAGGAGCTTAGCTGCGAAACCTGTCATCGGGTCAGTTGAGAGTGATTCATTAGGAAAGCATAATTACTGACTACCTATAATTTAGACTATAACTCACTGACTACTCTTCTCGCTCTTTACAATCGGGTGTGAAAGGAGCATACTTTATCCAGTGCATGCAAAAGAGCTGTTTTTTCATTCCTAATAGCTAAGCCGGAGAAAGATCCGAGTAACCGCTCGAACTATCAGCGAGGTGCCCCTATGAGTTGCGTACGCACGCTATTTGAAAAAATGATAAAAAACCGCCTAGTCTATTTCTTGGAAAAGAATAATATACAGAGGCTGTTCGCACATTTTTTAGACGATTTTGGTAACCAGTAATAAAAAATCGTTTGCTGCAAATCCCAAAATCACAATCTTCACTTTCTATCAGCATATTCTAAATTACATATTGGCTACTATTAATTGTTAAATTTCAGATTTAGATTTCCCCTTTCATTTTAAAATTGTATTCATATTTTTGCATGAAATATATACCCCTGTATTTTTATTTTGTATTTATATATAAATAAATAAATGGATAAATGAGTATCTGACAAATATTTCCTAAGGTTTCAAATCTTTAGAAGAAAAAAATTATATTGCCGGCAAGCATGTCCTCTTCCTGAGCAATTTTCCTTGTGCATGTAATTTGATTGCTTCGAGACTTTTCTAGATGAGAAAATTCATTCTTGATTTGGCGTCTTCAGGAGAGGGAAATGGGATTGACAGAATTTAAATGAGCTGAATTTTATATTCAGAAGGGGGGAAAGGCATTTCCTATCTCATCATCATATATTTAATCAAATCTGGTAAATTTATTTCAAAGTCGTTCAGAAACAGGCCTATCAAAATGTCCACCGTAGAATTATATAGACAATTGCTTCTACTGATTAGTCCTTGATACGCTTCTAATGCGAATAACGTAAAGTTTAGAATTTACATATTTGGGAATTACTTTATACCAGCATTATGAAAGGAAGGTCTAAATTCTTCAGTACCCATAGCTCTTAGAAAAATTGTATTTCCAATTCAATTTATAAAAATTTCTTTTCATTTCTGATGCTTCTCAGTTCGAGGTTATCACTCCTTAGCTAGTTCAGTGTTCAGTCATATAATAGGTTAATTACTTTACTTTAATTAGTGAACTTATCAGGTTCAATGTTCCGTCTTACCTTCTTCGGGAACATGCAAGGACCTGACTCGGAACAGAGAGCTTACTAAAGCTATGTTCAAAACTGTGGGAAGTAAACAGGATACACAAGAAGGGTATACAAAACCCTTTATTTTTCTCTATTTACAATAACTTCCGTACTTCGGAATACACAGACCCGCTACTTGGGGTCTAACGTAAAAATATAAAAAAATAGAACTAAACTCTAATTTAACTTTAAAATAATAAACGTGGAAGATTGGCCTTATATTAACAGGAAGCCGTATGTAGTACAGAGAACTGTGAACACTACATACGTTTAAAATTTATCAAGAGGATTAAAACCTCTGGCCTGGAAGGGAACCAGCAACTGCGTAAAACTTCTAAGGTAAGCGGCCTGCTTCGACTCACTGCTTCCTCTCTCTCGCTTGGCAAAAAGCCACAACTTAAATACTTGGCGTTCGCCAGACAAACTTTGCATAAATACATTAACGCTTATAATTCTGGCCGGAAGTAGAAAATAAGAAGTGATAGTAAAGATTTAAAATAAAATAAACGTTAGTAAAACTTAAGATCCTTACAAACTTGTAAGGATTATGTTAATTTTATTAACAGTTAAATTTTGAGTTAAACTTCTTTTCCTATCTCTTCTTAATTTCAACTTACCAATTCCAGGCAAAACGTAGTTTTAGAATCACGCCTGAATGCAAATGAGGAGGAGCGGTATTTAACCGCGAAGTTCTACTGTGTTAGTGAGAGAGAACCAGAGATTCTTAGCACGAGTCCGCCTTTTTAGGCTACTCTTACGCTCGGCCGTACTTTAGGCCCTTGATAGCTACGTAGTCAATTAGCGTTAAGGGAGCCAACTACGTTAGAAGTTTGATAGCTTCGGCTATATCTCTTTAGATAAGATTAGTTTAGTTTAATTCTTAGTCTCTTAAAGTTCAATCCCGAGTTTCGGCTTTATTGTACAACTCCAAGATGAAGTTCTGTTAAACTTTAGTTGGAATAATAAAGGATTATTCACCCTTCTCACTTGTTGTTTTTTACCCCATGAACTCAAGCGATTATTCGCTTACTATTTAAAATTCTTCACATTCAACTGTAACTTAAGGTACACAGTGGAGAGTCTTACGAACCTGACATAACCATCTGCAATTTTCAGGTTTTGCAGCATTCGTCCCTATGCACGCACAGTTTAAAAAAAGACTGCGAATGATTCTTACTTAATATTAACAAGTTAAGGATATGATTTATGCAACTTATTAAACTCTTAGCTGCATATAAACGCATCCTGTACTTATTTACGTAATTTTCAGGCTCATTTTATTAGGCAAAGGAATTAATTGAAATGTATATGTCTATTATGTTGCTAAGCATCTCATAAACACATGGATACATGCATGAAAACAATATTTAATCAGCGTTTATCTTTAGCTATGTATCTGTTTGTCTATCTAAATAGATAGATACATGGACTCGTCGACAATGAACAGGACTCAAGGACAGAACATGTACATGGACCTATGGACAGAACTCATCTACAATCATTAAGGATTGGTAGAGCAAATCACAACGACCAGAGGTTATGAAGTACAAAAGACGTGAACGGAAACATGAATTGTTGACAAGTGCTTATTTACGGCAGCAGTTTTACAATAATTTCTCAGAACTGAGTTCACCAACAGCAATAATATCGCTCGATGGATCGATATTGGTGTTGGAATAGTATTGGTAGAAAGCACTAGGTGGCTTGCCTAGCAGAAATAACTGCTAGACATGTTTGAAAGTGTACTCCATTCGCTCCATCGGCGCTACGAAACATGCAATAATGTTATAGGTTTGAGCAATTATTGCAAATATTTCTGTAAAAAAAACAGTTGTCAACAACGATGTAGGAAAACAATTTGTAATTACGTTCATGTCTTAATTCCTGTGTTTTCGCCTCAACATGCCACTGGCGCCTTTATATTCATGTATTAAAATGTCTATCCTCTCTTAACACATGCCCCACGAATTTAAATTCACCGGGTGTATGTGTTATAGAGCAATTGCTTATTTACAAATGCGTCTTTATGGAATCTCCATTGATACAGACTGTCTATCTGCGCTGCATTCTCTCCCTTATCCTCATCACACGTCACCACTTATCACAAACATCCAGAAACGACTAAGACGCAACGCAGCTCTCCATATGTGTCTCCGCTGGGTAAAACCCATATAGAGCTTGAGGGCCATGAGTTAGCGGATGCACTTAGCCAAGAAGGCAGCTAGTAACTGCAGTGCATTCCAGCACCTCTTACCAGCCCCACGTTCCTGTCTGAAGACACAAATTGCAATGGCAGTTGTTCATAGACGACAGAATGAATGGAACACCAGCGAGCGCGGAAGACGAACTTACAACTATATTCCTAGAGTTCACTAAGTACCGATTCTATTTAGTTCTGTTGCTTACTCGCTACATAAATGGCCATTGGTTTTCTTTTCTTACTACATCAGATGTACAGTCGCCAGATGTAGATACATACGTCTTTGGACAACACTACCGTCCAGATGATTAAGTCACCGCCTGCCCGCTCATTGCATATTAGACTGCCCATAACCGATCTCAGCGCACACAAGCATTATATCCTGAGAATTCTAATGCTACGGTGACGGTTATGCAACATAAATCAATGTTATGATGACCTCATATTGTTGCTACTGTGTAGCAACAATAGTATTACGATCCAGCTATATAATTAATATTCATTTGGATTATAATTTGCAATCTGCAGCAGTACCTCAATCCATCCTTTTCTGCATTACGTGTACATACGCGTCCGTTACTTGTGTCCTGACCACCTGTTATAAGTGACAGTGTTATTTTCTCCTTAAGTGACATGTATACTTATAGGAAATTAAAGTGCAACTTCACGCTACAGCTTTCCTGTTAACTGCTCGCTTTATTGAGCTTTCCATTACAATACCCAAGATTATTTCATCTCTAGGCATTCATTTTGCCTCCATACTATGGATATCTCAGATTTCTAACATCTACATATACTGCATGTTTAAAATCTACCTGTAATATGTCTTAGATTTAAATCATAGCATTAGAATTTCACTAAGCTTAAGTGCCTGTGTACACGTGCGTATGTGTTTTAGTTCCTATGACATAACTTTATCTAAGTATACCTGTATGTACTACCGCTAGCTTTATTTTGCAAATATTGTGTCTTATCTTCTGTACCATGTCATAAAACAGTAGCTAATTGCTCTGCTCATACGTATTTTATGTAACCATGTGTGATTTATGTGCCTATATGTGTTTTATGAATTTTACAAAAGTGCGTGAATAATTACATTCTTTTATATGCATGCTCTGCGTCTAAATGAGATTTATATGTGTCAATAGTGTGTGATTTATGTATTTATAAGTGTTAGTGCACATACATATGCAATGTCACGTTAGTGTCATTAAGCTGTTCTACAAATCACCAAATGTAATTAAACCAACAACCCTTGTTTGGTAATATGAAGGAATAGTATTTAAAATTAGCTCCCGACGAGGTATCTCGGGTTCTCAAGGGATATGCCAGCTCTACAGATAGTGGTGGGCGCGGAACAGTATCTCTGTACTAATGTTAGCTACCAGGTATCCCCTCCTCTATCACTTATCCCCTGTGTATGTGTGATGGAAGGAAATTTCAATCTTCTGTATGTATTATATATCATAAAAGAAGAGCTTTGATGCTTAAGATTTGGAATTTTACGCCACAAATTATCAAAAGGCGCAAATACCTTTTCGATAAATTAGTTCTTCTCTTTCACTCTGTTCAAGAACTCAGTTTTTATTGAAGTTTTACTTTATCCTTTCAGATGTTTCGCTTAGTTTACAACATTTTTTTTTTTTTTTTTTTTTTTGTATTTTATTTTTCTTAAGATAAAAAACAAATTTTCTCATTGGTAATGGAAGCATTTTAACTTCTCGTTTTAAGGGACTCAATCTCAATTTTGTATCTTAAACTGGACATCTCCACCGTGAAGAAGCCGCCAAATGAAGTTAGAAGAAATACCTATTTACCTTAATTTACCCACAAAAGATTCTCCACCTCGAGACAAGTCTGTCGGATCCGTGGAAATGAGGTAATTGGAGGTAGCACTTTTTTTCCTTTTGCGAGCAGCGAGTAGAAATACCTAAAACAAGAGAAAAGTACACTATGTCTTTGGATCAACACATATTATATAAAAAGAATTAGATATCGGTTGTTTCCAGTTTTTGTTTGGCACTAAGAAATCAGTATAAAGGAGCTAATGATGTATTTCTTAGAATACTTTAAGGCAGATATAAGTAATATAAATTTTCATTAACGAATTTAGAGTAGGCAAAGACGGAATACTTTTTCAGTGCCTTAGAAAATAGAAACAACACTTAAGAATCATTTTCTGAAAAAAAAATTTTTGAAATGTTTTAAAAGAGCATTGAGATATATTGTGTTAAAATCTGAAGTTTATATTGAAAGGTAAAGAACTTCAAGGATAATTCGAGGTAAAAGCTTTTCGTATAATGTGACATATACTATATATATATATACACATATATCAAAACATTTCAGCTGTGTAGTTGTGAATAAGAAATAACTTCGCGGTCATGGTTTTTAACATATATGATTCTGAAACGAGACTACAAAAACATCAGACATACGTGATAAAAATGAGAATTGAATCAGGGTTTTATCTAAAATTCATCTTTAATTTCCTTAACTTTTCATGAGTTTCCATGAGCAAATGAAACAATTTCCTTGATCAAGTGTAATGAATTAGCTTTCAAATTTAGTAAGTGTAACTGAACACTTTTGAGCACGTACTACAAAAGTACGATGAAATGTTAAGAATGTTAATGCAGTTTAATTTATTTTACAGATTGCTGTGAAGCATATGAAATGAATTAATGTTGAAAACACGCATTACCATTCAAAGATGATGTTAGAATAACAAAAAGAAATAAAATAAAAATAATTTTTAACAATAGTACATCATTAATAGTAAATAATACTTACATGCGTTTGAAAAACCTGAAGGATTCATAATTACATTGCATTAAAAAGCATTTAGTTAATATAACTAGTTGTTATAACTTACAGCTATATAACGTAGCAACTTCATAATGCATCGTTCATTTTTAAGGGCAATTACATTGTAGAAAGATGAGTGAAGAACAGTTACAGTTATAAACCAAGAATGAACAAGAGTTCACTTGTAAATGAAGAGAGTAATGGGTTGATAAAATTGCTTCAGTTTGATCTTCGTAAAATACTTCGTGCAAGAAAAGCGAAAATTACTGTAACTCTTTATTTGCATAATTTTTAAGGCAGACAGTTTTTATTTACAAATTAAAATTCAAAACATAAACATTTTGGTGTCTGAGAGGACTGGTATGCACGGATTTTTACCTTCCCTAAATTTTCTAAAAAGATAAAAAAAATCTAAAATTTTCTCCAAGTTTTCGAATTCTTTTTTACTGACTGTCTCTGACCATTTTTCATTTTCCTTATATTCCAGAATTTTTCAGGGGAGTAAGAGCCCTGGTAGAACGCGAAATAACAAAAGCAATATTTAAAAATTTAGAAGTTAAATTTTGTACTAGTATCATTAGCGCTGATTATTGTAATAAATATGAAATTATATAATCAATAAAAATTCATATTTATATCTAAAAACAAAACATATTTTAATCAAAAAATGTTTAATTTATTTATCAAGTCACTAGTCCACTTACCTTTCTCCCATCTTGTCTCTCTAAATGTAAGAAATAAGTCGGAAACATCCCTCGGTCGATTCCTTTTTTATCTCGGCTTATACGGCATCTAACTGTGATTCCCTGTGGACAAGCTTCAGTGGCAAAGGCTGCCAGATCGTCTAGAAAATTTTCGAGCTTTCCCAGAGAATCATCCATTTCCAAACTTTCTAGTTTTGGAGTGTCCATCTGAGAACCCGTCGAGGAATCTTGTCTTTGCTATTGGAATTTATTTATTCATAATAGTTACAATATGTTTAAAAGCCTTTTACTTCGACAACATAATATGCTGTTTCACATGAAAATTATTTTTTATAAATCTGGATGCACAATAGATCAATTTTCAACTCAAGAAAGGATATATATAAAGAAAAAAAGAAAAAGAGAAAAGAAAAAATGAGAGATAGAATAAATTCTTTAATTTTTCGTTTCCAAAAATAAAAATTCCTTCTTAAAAAAGTGATAATTTTTTTTATAGTTTAGTTTTCAGGTGTCATCAGTTGGCAATAACAACTTACCTCTGATACGAACGTAAATTTTGAAGTAGTGAAGCCAAAATAAAGTTACCGATGCAAAAGTCTTTTTTTTCCCCAGACAATTTTTCGCATAGCGAGTATATAAAGTGTCCTTGGTGGTATTTAACTTCATTTTCTGCCCGTTTTTACAAATTCGGGTGGAAGGGAAAAATAGAAGGCTCCCCCCTTTTTTTTAAAGAAGAAGAATGCAATAACTTTATTTTCATTTTACAGAAATTTTAAAATGTCGTCATTTTACATTCCCTTCACCAAAAACAAAAAACAGAAAAAAAAAAAAAAAAAAAAAAAAAAAGATTTCTTACGAACGAAAAAAAGATTTCATAATTTAATTACTTGATTTTGGTTATGATTTTGGGTTGGCTATATCGTTTGGTAACAAACGCCGCCAAACCTGACGATGAATCGCTGGTAACCGGTAAAACCCACAAGTACAACAAACAATTTACACTTTGCACCGACAAAAAAAGGACAGTTCTATATCTCCCGTTCTACTAGGCCTATTGACGAAATTTAATTTGCGTTTTTCATATCTCGAAAGCGCGACTTAGGACATGAATTAGATTTATATACAGCATTGTTCTAACCTAGGTACTTTGTACTGTTAAGTATACATACTGTTAAGTATACACACTTTTAAGTATGGTAATATACTGATTTTTGGTCATTTTGTTGTTGTTCACTCATGCTCACTTGTCTGACCTATAGTCAGCTCAGGTCCACGAAATTCCTCGTGGCAAGGAGCGCAGGATGACGCGTGTCGTTGGCAACAGCTTTAAGCACCATACATGTGACAGTGCGACTTTGCTCAGTTCCGCCCCCAATTTTGATGGAGAGCACTCCGGGGGGGGGACGGGTCCGAGGGTCTCTCACCATCTTTCCCTACCATCAACCTCACGAAAGGACATTCGGCTCGCCGCATATTTAGAGTGCCTTATGCCGCACGGACATTTACAAACATCCGTGCCTTCTCCGGGATTCGGACTCTTCGGTACGGCAGTCAGTGTCCAGTTATATTCTATACCGGTTGTGCGGCTTTGATCATTTTTATACTATACAGAAAACGAGCGAAGGTGACGCATTTGCCCTACAAAATCAAAAACGCTTCATTGATAATAATTTTCCGGATGTTTCAAGAGTATCACAAATCTGTGAGGAATCTTCAAACGCTGATTGAAATTACTGGAAATGCTAAGGTAACAAGAAACAGTTGTAATCAGCGGCTTCTCTTTGCCTTAGTATCTCAAATAATCGCTATCTGGCATGTTATTTTTACTTAAACTGACTGAGGTGTTGATTTTCTGTCACAGTAAATCATCTGATCCAACACGGGACTTGCATTCCAGTATGGCAAACATTGAAACTCATCCCCTACATCATGATTGCACTATAACTTTGATAAGTTGTATTATCTTTTTTGCCAAAGTAAGACTAATGTTCTTCATTAAGCGTAGCTGTTTATTGTTTCGCAACCCTCAAGTTTATTGTGGTTAAGACACCAATAAAAGTCGCCTTTTCCGATGATTCGGTAGCAACGACATAGGCAATGTAAAGAATAAGTAATGCCGGAGATGATCAATCCTCTCATTTTAACGTAGCTCGTGATCTCACCAAAAGCTGCTTGCCCGATTGGAATATACTTGTATTAAAACTGCGTCTCCTGAAGAGTGCTTGCATTCTGATAATATACGACGGACTTCTTTTGCCATAAACCAGCGTATAAGTAGATAACTTTTAAGTTATCAGTGTTACTGCCTCTGTTTACACGAAGGTATTTCAGCTACCCATACTTTTGAATTCAGAAAGCCCATTAATTTTCATTCGCAATTTTCAATTTTTACATTTTATAAACGACTAAACAAGTCAATGTTTTGCCAGCTGCATCAATCCTTTCAGAGACTGCAATTTTTTTTTCCAGTGGTGCAGTACGCTCCTGCATCTAGACCAGATAATACTTTTTAATTTTTCTTGCATCAAAAGCCAAATTTTATTTATTTATTTTCAGATGTGTTTAAGTTCACTTCTTCATGCTTTAAGATATTTAAGGCATTCAGATCTCTTAAAATATTTGTACTTTTTTTCTGTTTCTAAACCTTAAGAGTGGTGCTACACAAATGTTTCAGTATCGCGATTCACTGCTATATACTTACAATTTATTATCCGTTACGGTCAACCCCTACGCTCGAAAAACTATTTGTGTGAGAGAGAAAAATGTAAGAACTTTTGTAATAATTAAATAACGTACTTACTTTTAGAATATATATATATATATATATATATGTGTGTGTGTGTGTGTGTGTGTGTGTATAATAATAAAATTCCATAGTCAAAAATACATATGTATGTTCTTTTCATTTTTAATGGCGGCGGTCTCTATTTTGAAAGTACGTGGAATTAAATCCACAGCCCCGTAGTCAGTTTGTTTTTCCCGCCTTTTATACACGTACAGTTATAGAATGTTCTGGAGATATTTAAAGCGAACTGGAATGGCTGACGAGGCTGACGTCATTTCTTGGAAGCTCCGCCTTTCCAGAGGCTATAAAAGGACTCGCAAAGGAATATCGGGGTCTTTTCTTTAATGTAACGATGCAGTAAACTTCATACAAAAAGTTATTAGTAATTCTTTTTGTTTACTCCGGAAAATGATTTTTGTAACTGCTATTTCTCCCGACCAATAATAAATGGATCCTGTTTTTTAAACTTATCATCTGATAATTTAAGCTACGACTACATCTATATTTCTTCACCAATCTATTTATTCTGGACAAAAGCTGGTACATCATATATATATATACATACAGGGTGATTAGCTACCAGACCGACAAACTTGCAGGGTGTGTAGGGGGTACAGAGAATCACGATAGGAATACAGGGTCGCAAATGCCGTAGTTGCGAGCTATGGTCAAAAGAAGCACAGAAAAAGAACAGAAACAGCAACACATTAATGGGACAAAAACATTTTATTGATGGGCTGTACTACAAGAGCCGCTCGAAATTATGACCAGAAGTTGTGTGGCAGGCCTGACAGCGGCGTTGCATGGAATTCCTTACATTCTGGAAGATTCCTGGCATGTCACGTATCTTCTCGGCAGCTACAGGTATTCGAGTGACAAGGTCTTCAACTGAAGGAACGGGTGTCTCGTACATCAAACTCTTCATATAACACCAGAGGAAGAAGTCTATGAATGAAAGGCCCCATGATTTGGACGGCCAATGTAACGGGCCATTACGACCTACTCACCGCTGCCCAAACATTACGTCGAAGTGCTAGCGGATGTCATGCTGGTACCACACAGAGTAGCGCAACATGTGCTGAACATGTGCTGCTTTAAGAAGTTCGGGCAGGACTTAATGCAAGAAGATCAGAAATACCCTCCGTCCAAAGGACTGGGCAGAAGATACGGTCGAATGAGGTAGCCTCTAAGAATGCAGGCCCAAACACTGGCCGACGCTCTTCAGCTGCACGTGGTTGCGTACGACGAGGGTCTCCAAACTCCTCACATGGGCGTTATGCTGATTGAAAGTTCCCTCACATGTGAAGTATGCTTCATCCTTGAACAATACGAACGCAGGAAATGCGCTGCCTGTAGCACTTTGTTGCAGATACCAGGCAGCAAACGTCTTTTGGAGTGGATAATCGTCAAGCTCTAAAAATGGGACGTGATGAAAATGGTATGCGCTCATTTGGTTTGCTGCATATATCCTCCATACAATGGACTGAGGTAAATCCACTTGTTGGGCTATCGCTCGAGTACTCGTGTGATGCGGAGCACGCCTGTTCGGGTAACGTTCCTGGTACAACAGCCGAGAGGCGTGCCTGCTCCATACACGATTAGCATGTCGACCGGTTCATTGTTTGAATACACGTTCATCCTAATACCTCGGGAAACAGATAGCAAATGAGACTTCCAGCAAGATCGCTGTTCACTCAACCTTACGTTCAACGCCGTCTACGGCAAGACTGCTGAGAGGAATCGTCCGTAAACGCCGCTGTTATTCCTGCCTGATGACTTCTGGTCGTAATTTCAAACATCTATTGAATTAAAACCTTTCAATAAAATTTTATCTGTCCCATTAATGTGTTGCTGTTTCTGTTCTTTTTCTCTGCTTCTTTGCACCATAACTCGCCACTACGGCATTCGCGACCTGTGTTTCTATGTGATTCCGAGTCATCCAGTCGTGTACCCCCTACACACCCTGGAAGTTTGTCGGTCTAGTAGCGAATCACCCTGTATATTTATATACATAGAGAGAGAGCGAGGGAAAGATAGAGATGTATATATAGAGAGAGATAGCTATAGATAGACAGATAGATATAGAGAGATAGACAGGTAGATATAGGTAGGCAGGTAGATATAGATTTAGATCGATATAGATATAGATAGATATAGATATGGAGAGATATTGATAGATAAAGAGAGCATTTATAGATATAGATATAGATAGATAGATAGATAGAGATATAACTAAAAAAGAGAAAAGAAAAAAAGCGGCAAAATCTTTCGCGACCCATAATTTGAGATCCTTTGCAGCTTTATTATATGGTGACCTTTATCGAAATTATTTTATTAAAAATATATATGTTGACCTTTAATATAGCTATACTATAAACTAATAAAAATGTGCCATAAAGGCAGTTTACAATAAAATCATGTACATTTCAATTGAGTAAATTGTTAAAAAATG